GGATTTACTGCTGTGCGATTAAACTCATCTATTCCCGAGTTCAATACCTATGTTATCCTGGGTTTGTGGTTTTCATTTTTAAATTAATTTCAATTTTCCATGATTTCAGGAGTTGGTGAAGAAATATTCTGAGTTTATCAATTTCCCAATTTATTTGTGGGCAAGCAAAGAAGTGGATGTTGAAGTTCCAGCTGACGAGGAAGATTCCAGTGATGAAGATGAAAAGCGTATGTACAATTTGACTTCCTGTTATGATTCTGTTATACCCCTGTTAGAGCTTTTCCCAGTTTCCAACAAAATTCTCTGTTGTAATTACTATGGTCTATGCCCCTCTCCATGAGTTAAGGTAACAAGGTATAACCTCAATCTCATTTTTGCTTCATGATCACATTTGTGATGTCAACAGCTGAAAGCAGCTCCTCTGAGGAAGAAGAGGAAGATACTGAGAAAGAGGAGAATGAGAAAAAACCCAAGACAAAGAAGGCTAAGGAAACAACTTATGAATGGGAGCTTTTAAATGATGTAAAGGCTATATGGTTGCGTAACCCTAAGGAGGTGACAGATGAGGAGTACACGAAGTTCTATCATTCTCTTGCCAAGGTAAATCTTCTTGTTTTTTGTCTTGCAGGACACCTCTCAGTGCTATGTAGCCAACTGATGAATTTTGTGGCATGGTACCTATCTGTTTTGAACATCTTTTGTTCTCTAACAGGACTTCAGTGAAGAGAAGCCCTAGCATGGAGCCATTTCACTGCTGAAGGTGATGTTGAATTCAAGGCTGTACTCTTTGTGCCTCCAAAGGCTCCTCATGATTTGTATGAGAGCTACTACAACACTAACAAATCCAACTTGAAACTATACGTCAGACGGGTTTTCATCTCTGATGAATTTGATGAGCTTTTGCCTAAGTATCTTAGCTTTTTGAAGGTATTAAAAGCTTGTTGGCTCATTAGCTATCAAATCTTGTAAAGTATTCCCATGCTAATACTTTAGAAAAAAAAATAATACTTTCGATGCTTCTGTCCAGGGTCTTGTTGATTCTGATACCTTACCACTTAATGTATCAAGAGAAATGCTTCAGCAACATAGCAGCTTGAGAACTATAAAGAAGAAACTGATTAGAAAGGCCCTTGATATGATTCGCAAGATTGCTGAAGAGGATCCTGATGAAGCTAATGACAAAGAAAAGAAAGGTAGGCCATCTTATGCCTAAAGTAGTATGGATGCCTAGAAATGCTCTGTCGTGTGGTTTTCTTTTATTTTTTTCTTCTAGTTTTTTTGGTGACTGGTGCTATACTGTTCTATTCTGTTAAAATGATTCCACATACTTGATCTTGAGCAACGCCATGTTTAATCTGCAACAAATTGTGGATTCCTGAAGAAAGTGCAAGAATGCAGAACTGAGATTTTTTTTTTAAATATTGAACTTAAGGCTTAATCTCTCTCTCTCTCTTCCCCCCAACCCCCCCACAACCAAATCCTTTTGCAGATGTTGATGAATCAAATGAAAGTGATGAGAAGAAGGGTCAATATACAAAGTTCTGGAATGAATTTGGCAAGTCAATTAAGCTGGGAATTATTGAGGATGCCGCTAACCGCAACCGTTTGGCAAAACTTCTTCGATTTGAGACGTATGGAACTTTTTAGAAACTATACAAAATGATTATATTCCCTCTGATTGGTTTTGTGGGTGAATTTGTGACCTTTTGTATTCCAAATTTGCAGTACCAAATCGGATGGTAAACTAACTTCACTGGATCAGTATATCTCAAGGATGAAACCAGGACAGAAAGACATCTTCTATATTACTGGTACAAGCAAAGAACAGCTTGAAAAGTCACCTTTCTTGAGCGGCTTACGAAGAAAAACTATGAGGTATGACGTTTTTTTCTCAGGTTATGTCAAACAGTGATCTGGCTTTTCTTTCACTTATCTTCTTTAGAAAATTCTTTTATTTGTCTGGTAATTGACAAACATGTAATTTTTTCTATTAAGAACTTGAGAATTCGTCTTCTTGCTAAGAAAATTAAAGCTGTTTACTGCCTATGCTTTATGATCAAATGACCTGACAAGTGCATATTAAGGAGTCATTTTTCTTTCTTAATTGTTTATATCATACTTGGTGCAGGTCATTTTCTTTACAGATCCTGTTGATGAGTACCTGATGCAGTATCTTATGGATTATGAGGATAAGAAATTCCAAAATGTGTCCAAGGAAGGCCTTAAAATTGGGAAGGATTCTAAGGACAAGGAACTGAAGGAGTCTTTCAAGGATTTAACTAAATGGTGGAAGGGTACCCTTGCTAGCGAAAATGTTGATGATGTGAAGATAAGCAATCGATTGGCAAATACACCTTGTGTAGTTGTGACATCAAAGTATGGTTGGAGTGCAAATATGGAGAGAATCATGCAGTCACAGACCCTATCAGATTCTAGCAAGCAGGCATACATGCGGGGCAAGAGAGTGCTGGAGATCAACCCAAGGCACCCAATCATTAAGGAGCTCCGTGAGAGAGTTGTGAAAGACCCTGAAGTAATTCTTTGGCTCTCTTCTTGCATATAACCTCTTCAAGTATCTTAATTTCAGCTACTTGTCTAGTATAACTCAGTTGTTTAGCGGCTTTTTTGCTATTGTGATTTTATTTTATCTGCAGGGTGAGAGTGTGAAGCAAACAGCACACCTGATGTACCAGACAGCTCTCATGGAGAGTGGATTTATGCTCAATGACCCCAAGGACTTTGCCTCACGTATTTATGACTCTGTGAAAAGCAGCTTGCATATCAGTCCAGATGCAGCTATTGAAGAGGAGGAAGATGCTGAAGAAGCTGAGGTAGAATCCAGTACAAAGGAAGGATCAGGTGAAGATGCTGAAGAAGCTGAGCCTTCTTCTGTCAAGGATGAACTGTAAGATGTCTTTGAAGAAAAGGAATGCTCTTGAAGAGGAGAATTCAGTTTTAGCTGGCCTCCCATTTGAGACAGTTCTAGGAAAACTCTAGAGATTGATCTTGTGTCTTAGAAGTGCTTCGAGTAATTAGACCACGGAGCACCCAGTCTATAGGCTTTTGTAAACATAACCACCAGGAATTTTGTTTATCTTTCGTTTTACTTTTTGAGAAGCTTCAAGGCCCAAATCCGTTAGTCTTTGCGTCCTTGGATGCAATACGAAGTTGTGCCTGGTCTTGCTCTCGCACCAATCAATAATCCAACTGGGTAGGTCTTGTGCATTTACCAAATTCGAATGTTAAAAGTAGCATGCACGATAGGAATCGACAGTTTTTTTTTTCCCTCGCGCGCGCTTGGGGGCGGGGTTGGTGTTGTGTTGTGGTTCAGCAAATTGTACATGTGAATTCAGTCCCAGCGGAAAGTGCATCACCAAGCTCGAAGTAAAATGTCAAACTGGTTGCTGCTAGTTCCAGGACAAATGGAGCAAACGTTTGAAGTTAGTAGTCGTGTTTACTAATTCTCAGTTAGATGATGCGGATGTCCTTCAACAGAAGGGTAATTAAGGATCGCGATTAGATGATGCAGACGTCCTTTCATTTTGGGAAATTTTTTGTGGTTTCGGCTTATGAAATTGATACCTTGAAGTTCTGAGCTTTAAAGGAACAGATAGAAGTTTTGGATGGTGTTAGGTGATGGTTAACTTACTCATGCTGAAAGCTAATTGGGAAATAGATGCTCTGCAGCAAATTCTGTCTCACTACGTGGATTATCTCCGAGCAGCATGATTTGGGTTTAATAGCGTGGAGCTTATTATGAAATTGCTCTATTGTTGTACAAATTCCTACGCGTATCTGAAATTATCTATTTCCCTTATTTCTCTTCTTTTCTGTTTCCCGGGGAAATACATACGGCTTAATCCGCATTGCATATGGGGGCCAGAAAATGCAATAATGCCTGTCATTTTTTATGCAGCTAGCATATAGAGCTCTTGGGGGGGCTGTTGGTGAGATATTCTGCTCATTGCAGCCATCTCTGCGGTTCTTCGCAACCTTAGGAAGTAGGAAGCGGTTTTTTCGCAATCAAAAGAGCAAACACTACACTCAACTAGCGAATCAACTAATACGGTGATACCGGGCCTGTATCCTGCCAGACACTTTCTTCACAATTGAGCTTGCAGTTGTCTTTACTCGTCATTTTGGCCTATATCAGTCCATTTTAAAATAGCGAGGCTTCCTCGTGCTACCTCCAAAGAATATGCCACGCAACTCAGTAGAGGGTAGGATGGATGGGTCCTAGTTCCCAGCAAATTTGAGACTACGAAGAAATATTCCCACTTTTCACCTGCTGGCCAGATGTCTTACAAACATGGCCAATACTTTCAGATGTAATTGTAGCAAAGGCTGGGAAAACTTTTTCTCAAGATTCGTTCCATTGATTGAGGCACAACCACCGCACACCCGAAGCTTTTGATTGCAACCATCCGTTATTAAATAAAACATCGCTAAGCCCTAAAAATTAACAAGCAAAGGAGGCCGAGTAGGGAAAGAAGCAGACGGCTACTAGTATTCTATTCTTTTTCTTCTGAAAGAATACGAGTTGTACTACAGGAGAGTAAACTTTTTTGACTGTTCTTAGGGGTCAAACTTACATTACAGCTATGAGGAGCCCGTGTTTGACTTTGAGCTCTTAGAATGATGCAGTAATACTAGTACTATTTGGTAAGGAACCTGGGAAATTATGATAAATACAAGACAGTCATAAATTTGATAGTAACTTCGCTAATATTAGTGGAAGCTTGATTGACAACAAATTAGTTTTATTTTATGGTGTCATCTCCCCTCTATGAAATATTGTAAAGCTTTAATATTATTAGAGCATTTTGTCTTCGTCCTTGTTTGATGTAACTTATCGGTATCTCTCCTCTACCCAAAAAATTTGACGAACACGGGCCGGGCAGCGATCGTGGCAGTTTTCAGAGGGATATAAAGTGATGTGTCTCGTAGTAAAAAGCAAAGATACTGGTTGTTTTCAGAAAGAAGAAAAGGTAAGATTCTCTCAACAGTTGCCTACTTCGATTCCATTTCCTTACAACCAAATAAGAGTACAAAATAATGAAACCAATGCCGCCTACTAAATCGAATGATAACTTCATAGTCCAATTCAGATTATGCATGGTAAAATCCTGTAGCTACGTGCGTGCAATGCTGCACCACTGTTTAAAAGTGGAAGCAGAAATCATTAAGTTGGAGGCCCTGAATCCCTGATCTCATCAATGGCTTCAGAAAAGTAGGAAAAAGAAATAGTACTCCCTAAGTAATCTTTTTTTTTTCCCCCCTAAAAATAAGAAATGGTGCGGAAAGTAGCAGAGTAGAGATGGAATCGATCAGCAAAGGAATATTGGAATGAGAACAAACAATTTCTTAATTACGGTTGGTGGGATGGTTGGTTGGTTAGTGGTTACCTTGTGGTGGAAGGGCAGAATGTAATCGTATAATCGGCGCCTTTACATGTAAAAGTACTCGTGGCATCGTCGTAGGCGTAGCTATAGGCCCTGGGACACGCATTCTTGAAAATCTCCGAATACATCGACGGCCTGCAAGTCGACGGTGAGCCATACTCTCCGCTGCAACAGTACTCCGGACTGCCAAATGCCTCGCATGCACTCTTGCATGCCTGCCCCTCCCCGCCCCGCAATTCGTTCGGGCACATCCTGTTCAAGTCAGTCGCACACCCCGTTGCCCCGCAAGCACCTGACCCCCCACTTGGCTCCACCATCATTGGCAGATTGTAGCCGTCCACCAGGCTGACGTCGTAGAAGTCCTGGGTTCCCGAGTCAGGGCCAGACCCGACTGTGAACTCCGCAAGAGTTGCGGGTGGGGTTGCCCCTGCACCATTGCACTCCAGCTGGTTGGACCCACAATCGCCGGTGGCGCAGCTTCCTTGCCCGGTTGAGGGGTCGAATGTACAACCTGTTCTGCCCCAAAACCGGCCTGACCAGCTGGGAGGAGCTTGGAAGGACCTGGACCCCCCCGGTGGAAGTTCAAACCCGGTGCTGTCCAACTTGGCGCTGCCGGCGTTGGCTAATATTCCTGGCCATACCATGTGGTTGCACCTGTTTACTAATGTAAATGTAGCCCCTGAAATTTCTGCCAAAAAACACACACACACACACATATAAATACAACGTCAACAATCAGTCCATCAATGTGATTCTTAGTTACACACATCAGTTACACACACAAACGTCACGTGCATGTTACATGTATATGTGTGTGTGTGTGTGTATATATATAACTATAACTATAACTAGCTAGCTGAATCAACGTTAATAGAGTAGGTTTTTTGTAATTAACTGAAAATTAATAGAAAAAGGAAATAGTAAAATATAATGTTACTGCGTCCATTAGGATACAAACCTTTGCTGTTGATCACTAGGAAAACCAAGATGATGCGAAGACAGAAACAAGTCGAGGACATTGGCAGAATTGGAATCAATCAATGAAACTTGACGGGAAGATGAAGAATATATAAAGATGGCTTTTCTTTTTCTGTGATCAAATGCGGACGGTTGTATTAGGAAAGAAGAGGACGCTGTGGAATGGTAAGTAAAGGGTTTTTTGGGATGATAGGTAGCTGTAAGATAACAACAATGGGGTTTGGGCAGTTGGGGTGTAATACCCATAAAATTATGACAAGTTTTTATGGGGAGAAAGGAGGAGATTGATTACAATGGTGATCTGACGAGGAATGAGGCTGGGGGATGCTGATATGGAAGTCTTTATATATATATATATATATAGTTGCTGTTTAAGTAAGATGTGCTAAAGTTTGGTGTGAATGCAGGAATAGGAGGCTTGACTAGTAGTGTCAAATCTGCACAAGTTTACGATATTTCCTGGAACACTAAACAAATTGGAAGCGGCTGGCGAATTGGCAATGGCCCCTCGGGTATGTACGGTGTACTCCTGTGGTATGCTGTATTGTTTTGTATATAAGGGTCTCACTTTTGTTTAATTTACGATGCCAAGTGCATCCCAAGTAACAAGCAAATTAGCACTCTACGTGAAATGAAACTTTTCTATTGGTTCTGGAACCGACACGAAATGAAACTTGTTATCGGGGCTGCTCAAAGGGAACAAACCTCCCAAACTGTGGTGTGCAACAATTCTGACTGAAACAGTCTATTATTCCGCGGAGAACTGGTGCTGGGGCCTCGCCCTGGTTGTGTCAACATATTCCGCCTAACTATAGCGATCAGAAAATTGAGATCAAGAATCTAGCCTTTCTCCTTCTTTCGTTCAATGTGGCAGGATTCCTACATTGCTACAGTCTCAAGTCTCGACCCCCTTTTCCATGGAATTAGATTCCTAATCAAGTTTTCAATTGAAGACACAAAAAAAAAAAAAAAAACTAGTTCGTTGAGCTTAGTCGATGATCTGTAGGAAATGTGCAAATTCAAGTTGTAGATTCGAGTGAGCCATCCAATAATCGGTCGGTCAAAAAGTTCAGCAAGAATATTTGAAGTTCCTTTCACTTGTCTTCCATTAATTAGCAAATGGATTTTGAATTTCTTTTCTTTTTTCTTCTCTGGTATTGTGGGATAAAGATATTTATCAATTTGAAAAGGCAAATTTCTTAAAATAAATTAACTTTGTGACATTCTTGTACTCAAACTCCGTATATCTGCACAATTAATCTGTCAGTCACTGTATGAAGGACCAAATAGAAGGAAGTAGGAATGATGTACCGAGTAAAACGCGACCAAAATTAAACTCTTGCTCACCGTCAAAATTTTAAAATCTTGGTGGGGGTGGGAGGTCAAAGGTTCAATCTTTACCTCTCATCATATATGCCACATAACTGTGACGAGTTCTTTGTCGGCTTCTTTTTCCCCTACACTAGAGTAGAGTAGAGAAGCTATAGACAAATGTTATAGTTGCGACAAAAAAAAAAAAAAAAAAAAGAGTAAAACACTTTTCCGTTTCTGTTCTCAGTCATCACTGCACATTTGATGTTATATTTGATATGGAGACCACAAAGTCAATGTTTCGGTGTCAACGAAATCATCAATCATAGCAAGTGTTGGCCCATATTTGGGTTTAATTCCTAAAAGAAATCTTGGATCGACCAAGTGATCATTCGTGGGGCGGTGTTTGCTTTTTTCCTTTTCTTTAATTATCTCCATGTCTCTCTCTCTCTCTCTCTCTCTCTCTCTTTTTTTTTTAAACCTTGCATTTAAACGAGAATAATAATGCTCAAAATCCACTCGCATTGGCAGGTCATTTCAAAATTTTGGTTGGATTGGCACCAAGCTTGCTTAACAGAGATCGTAGCTAATTATAGAGGGCTTGTGTTTTCTTATCCAGAAATAAATAAATGTACGTACAAACGCCGGAAAGGAAATCAGAATTTATGGCGGCATCATCTCATTTCACCGATGAACCGGAGCTTTTAATCAATGTAAACGTCCACAGACATGTTAATCCATGTGGATTGGATTGAAACGAGCCCGTTTCATGTAATTTCTGTTTAAAGACGACGTTTGTTGTCAATGATTAAGCCATAGGACAAGTCATTTCAGCATCAACAATGCTTCTCCTGGTGATGAAAGAAGAAGAAAAGATGTGCAAGAGATATGATTCACAAAGAAACTGCAAGTACGAGCACGTAGCTAAGGTCCCTTGCCATATGAATATTACGACAGCAACTGAAATCCGTAAATGCGAGCTGAGGAAGGCAGCGCTGGAAAAGTGACGACTGAAAGAAGTGCGAGGCTGCCCTAAAGAAATGGACGTAAGAATGAAAAGAAAGAAGAAATTGTGCAACTCCACGTCACTGTGTCCGTGCTGGCGTGGAAAGCAGCAAGATTCACTGTCCCACTCATTCATTTGGTTTGCTTATTGCCGTAAATTAAATGAAAACACCCCTATCCAAAAGTGAACCATTCTGCTGGATAATTTTGTATAGAAGATTAATTATTCTAAAAGTGAACCAAAGTAGAACTTATTGGCTGTAGTATTTACTTTTGACGAGCTTGGGCACCCACGTCAGGATGGCCGAGTGGTCTAAGGCGCCAGACTCAAGTTCTGGTCCTCGTGAGAGGGCGTGGGTTCAAATCCCACTTCTGACATGAATAACAACCAGTATTTTTCAGTTTTTTTTTTCCCCAGCAGCGTACATGGTGAGAAAATGAGCATCAGGTCCCCTGGGTGCTACTGTAAATGCTGGAAAATGATCAACTGGCAAGAAATAAAGAGTTGCAGAAAGCTACAGGATGCATGGTGCGGATAGGAAGGAAAATGCTTACGCTGTATAGCAACTGTCTTCTTTATGCTGTGAGCTTCGTCAGGGAAATTAAGATAAGTTCTACTCGAAAAGTTTACTTAGGTACCTTTTTCTTTAAGGCAAAAAAAAAAAAAAAAAAATTTTTAAAAAGAACAGGAAAAGCTTTTACTTTCCCAAAAAAAGGTTCAGTAGAGGAAAAGTCTGCTCACTGGCTGGCTGGTGCTGATTTGATCTGCTGATCGGTTCTTACGTGGGAGAAGAAACGTAAGTTGAGTGATCATTGACATAAACACACCACTTACTATGGATTGGTAAAGGCTCAGAACATAATATTAATGTTTATTGATTGTCCGAATTACATCTTTTTGACATAGTGGCATTATCTTCTTGACTCATTTCATCATGCTGTCATGATTAACCCCCCCTGATTCTTCTGCCTGGACTCATGCGGGGTTAAATAAAACAAAAGCAAAACAAGAATTGTCATACTAGGAGGAGCGACTAGCTAGCTAGAGCTAGAAGGAGAGAGGAAAGTAGCAAGTTGATGGATGGAAAATGCTTTCTTCATAGGTTCACTGTCATGGCTGATAAACTTCGTCAACATATTGTCTATGACGCGTCACCATATCCAGAATGAGATCAACCGTCAACGTCGGTCGGTGCTCCCTCTTTCTGACCTATTTAACAGTTAACATGCGATTCGATGGTATTCAACAACTAATTACGAGGAAGAACGTGCATTGACATGTTTTGGTTGGTGTCGTGTAAAGGGGACATATCCCATGTGGATAATTGTATTTCTTTTTCCCCATCCATGTACCTTTTGATTCGTTATCCCATTTTATCTTCCTTTATCAAAAGGTTTGTGTCATCCTCTCTCTCTCTCTCTCTCAAAAAAAAAAAAAGCTCTACGTGCCCTTGGTCGATTGGAAAGTTCCCTAATTAAGGAGTGGGGTGGTTTTGCTCTTCCATTTGTCTTCCTGCCGCCAGCCTGCAGGTAATTCGGTAAAAGTTCGTTCAAGAGAGAAGAGCAGCCTAAAAATTCGTCCGTCCCATTTCTGGACTATTCTTCAATTGCAGATGCGGTACGAACCCTTAATTAGGGCATGCATGTCCTATGCTCTCTCCCTCTCTCTCCGTTTTCTCTTGGTAATTACGTACGTACTTAATGGCAATAATTAATGTATAATATATGTGTGTATACAAATATACGTACGTACATGCATGGTAGAGAGTACTGCACGCATAAAAGTAGGGGGGTGGTAATGGTAAGCACTGTGAAAAACCTGGTGTCTATCTTAACATAAAGAAGCTTCTTTGAATAGCATATTGCAGGAACCTATAAGGAGGAATGCAGAAAGAGAGGAGACGTGGAAAAAGGAAGGATACGTGATGTGGAACCTCAAAAGCAAGCAAAAGTGATGGCGTAGGATGTCGGAAGAAGATCGACTCTTTTCTTCCTCCTTCCCCCACAACAACAACAACAACAAAACAATTTAAAGCATTCTCTAAACACATCGCTTTTCATCCGAGAAAAATAGCCATTAATGGAACGTCCCCAACTATAAACTAATTAAATGCTATATATCTACTGCCTTCTGAGCTAAGTTTTCTTGTCTTCTGGTCAATGGACTAGGACTGGCTCGCTCATTTGTTAAGGGCTAAAAATGACGTGTTTTTTAGACCATTTGGAGAGCTAAATATAATGAATGGGTTTTTCGTTGGTGATTATTTATTTGGTGTTAGGTTAACCAGATTACCACACCGCTTACCAGTTAAATCAGGGTGACCTTCGGAATATATATATATATATATATATATATGTATGTATGACATAAACTATCTGAATTATTCTCCTAGAAAACTTCACTCTTTCTGCCTCTATTGCGAATGAATCCAGGATATGGAGTTCACCAAAAGAAAAAAATGGATTTCTACTCAAGACCACGTATCAATCTGTCGGGGGATACGGTGCAATGCTAGGCCATCGCAGTTTGACCTCACCTAATTAAGTTTAAATGTTCGATTATTGGAAAAATAAACAGACAATGAAAAAAAAGGGAGAAAAAAAAAACGAATCAAAGTTCATCCCGCTGTAAATCAATTTACAAATTCTGTGGGATCCATCTCAGACACAAAAATGCTCAGGATAGAGGATTCTTCATTCTTGCACTGCACTAATCAAGTTGGTGTAACCAATTGGCTGGATCGGATTGCTGGGTAGGTTCCCCTTAGACTGCTTGTTTATCGAGTCGATTTATCCGTTAACTCTCGTACTTAGTCTAATTAAGTGTGCGTGTTTATTTCTGTGTCCGAAAAAAAAAATCAAGTTGGTGTAAAATGCAAAGGGAAAGGAATTCAGCCTGAACGAAAGTCCCCATCCACAACTGTGTGATTGATTGGACTGTTGGGTTGAATCTTCTCTTTGGATTTCCACAAACAGCAGGCCCACAGTCTCCGCTCAAAGTGGCATTCTCTTTGGTTTCCTGCATTGTACGGACTAGGAGAAGTTGGGCTTCGTTCAAACAACAATCGTCCACTCCACTACACGTAGCGAAAATGTCGCAACTAGTTTTGAGGAAGTACTCATCTGCTTCAGTTACAATTTTTTTTTTTTTTTAAAAATAATTTAACTTTTGGCCTGTAAGAGTTACTCAGTTACTTGTCTCTTGGATTACTCTGTAGAATGTGATTGCCAAGTCTAATTTAAATTTGAGCAGGAAAAATGGTTGGCTGCTTCGATTGTCAACTTCCTCAAAGCTATGCATATGCACCAATGCACGCCTGGAAGAATGGCATTTTGTTGCGACTTCCACTGAGCAACATTTGCATGAAAAGAAGTTCAAAATGACTACAAATGTCGACGCCTTCGTACTTTTATAGCTTATCCGGAAACCTTTTTTTGGATCGAGGGGACCAAAGAAAGAAATTCGGAAAAGTTTGACTGTATAAAGGGTTAACTCCATTAGTTTTAATGGGGAGGAACTTAGTCAGCATTCGGAAAAGTTTGGCTGCTGCCGCTGGTTGTGGTGGTCGTGGCACCCCCGAGACCGCAGCCACCAAATGGGCTACGAAAATCCTCAAATCCATTTTCTTATTACATGTAATGTAACTGGTATTACTAAACTACAAAATGGATGATGTTGTGTGGTGGTGGATTCGAGTCATATTTGAAAGCAGCAGCCATAAATGCATTGAACCACAATTTTGTCAATGGTGGCTGATTTAAAGCTCCCAAGAACTGGTTGATTGATGAAAAAGCCAAAACCATCACTTTTTTTTTTTTTTTTTGGGTCTCGTTAATCAATCAGGGGATGAGCTCGCTCCGTTTTGGATATTGTTCTACAACATGACTGGTGGTGACGTGTTAGTGTCACCGCATTGGAAAAAAGAGTCTAAGCCCTGACCGCTGACCGGACCCAGATGGATGGATTCTCCTAATCACATATTATTATTATTACTGCTCAGTTTGATTTCAGGAGCCGATTTCTTTGCTGAAAAGCAAAATTGTCGGTCACATTTAGTCCAACCATTCTCGAACAGTCCACCGTTATAGAAACCATCGGTTGGGCTGAATTTGTCTAAAGATTTTGATCATCTACCCTGCAGGCAGTAGTTAAGATGGATCTGAAGTTGAGTGTAGCGGAAGGAAAAACAATAATTACTGCTGCTACTACATCATATCATATCATATCATATCCCTCAAAAACTACAAAGACGGCAACTAACCAAAAGAGAGTTGGTGGCTGTCGTATGTATTGTAGATGGAGATGTATTTTGGATCGATCGTGCATGCTGGCTTGGTTTTTAGTACGTAGGTATAGTTTGAGATGAGATGTATCGATCGGCCTCCGTTTCTCTGCTGCCACGGTTAAAAGAGAACCGCATTCTTCAGTCATTCCAGTTTGATTCGGTACTTGAATTCAATCAACGAGTGTTAGCTAATCTCTCACTGGAATTTTGGTTGGAACTGGAACAGGTAAATGTAGTAATAATGCTTTGGAAGTTGGGGTGTCTTTCTCGTCCATAATTAGCTGGGGAGCTCTCAAAGTATTTGTTTCTATAATCAGGTGATCCAGCAAAAAAGTAACCTCTAGACCAAGAAAATGAAATCTCCTGCCAATATATGCAAAAAAAAAAAAAAAAAAAAAAACAGAAGTCAGCATGCAAGAGGTTAAACCGTTCATGTGCATATGATCTGGTGTTACAGTTCCTTCAATTGCAGGTCACATGGAGAACACATCACATGGTAACCACACTTACACTGTCCGATCTTTCTTCATTTTTCTTGACTAGTCTTTTTTTTTTCTCTTTTTCTTTTCTGTCGGAAACAATAGAACTACTCCTACTCAATAATATGGAGAGGGGGGGTGACCCAATGGCACCTAGGGAGGAAATTCAGGAGGCTTAAACTATTATCGGGATTAAGGAAAGGAATTCGGACCTATTCTTACTCTATATTATAGGAAAAGGATGATCCAATGAGATCAAGAGGAGGGAATTCGAGAGAGTGAATCATCATCGATCTAAACGGGTGCTTGTGTATTCGCGGTCGAAATATTTCAGAAAATTCTGAATTTTTAGAGTGCAGGTCAAGAGATTCAGTTATACGTTCTAAGAGTAGTTATCTTGCATGACTAATCATCTACCTACATCAGTTGGGAAATGAAAAAGTTTTCAACATTGTTAGTTAACTGATGTTACAAGCAAGAACTTAAAGGCAGCGTCCAACGTCGAAGAGTAATTGGGAAATGAGCTTTTTATATATATATATATATATGCAAAAGCTGGCACGTCGCAACGTGATTCAACACTAATCACGATAACGACTCACCGCAGCAAATCATTAGGCCCTGTAGGTATAATAATTCAGTAAAGTATCGTAGCAAAAGCAATATGGCTAATTCAGCAAGATGTCAAATCAAGCTCAGTCAGTGCTTCCCTTTGCTAGGCTGTAGAACTACCATGGAAGCAGAGTCATAGGAATTCCGTAATATTCTTCATTCATTACCCCCAAAAAAGAGAAAAAAGAAACTAAAAAACTTTTCCAGCCTAACTTAAAAAAGGAGTTGAACCATGAATGTAATCCAAACACATCCTTAGTTGTAGTTGTTGCTAGTTCGTTAGTGTGATCCCAGCCTTCGATCATCACCGATCCCTTTTTATATCATATTAGTACAATCTTACAGTATCCCATCCACCTGTGCTGCTTCGACATTCTGTTATTAATATTGCTCCAGCACCCTGCTTTTATTTGTTTGTATTGATTCACAAGAATCAGCAACAGCAAAGCATTAATTTAACGATACATGACCAAACAATAATTTAAGATTGATTCTTCTTATTGATCTGTAGTGTACAATATACATCACTAGGGCTAAATATACATCACTATGCTAACACAATAAATATTTTGATGAATCTCCTACCCGCTGCGCTATTCTTTAAAAAAAAAAAAAAAAACCAAAAGTTTAAGAAAAAATTGGCACCACCCCTACAGCTACCCTACTCCGCCGCCTAGTAGTATCTTGTAAATGTGTCTGCTATAATTAGACTCTGCTGCTATTTGTGCGTTCCTCCATGAAAACGAACTACCGCCAGTGACGTGAGCAGAGGGGTTTTGGTCCCACTGCTGAGCTAGCTTTCCATGGTGACTGGGATCGTCGTCATGTGGGCCGGGCCGGAATTTGGGACCACGGAACGGCGAGGACCAGATAAACTGAATGGCCCACAGGTGGTACGCCACCCGGAACCGGACAAGGTTAGATGGGCCTCCGTGGAAGGTAATGGGTCGCGAAGAGTTGGTGCTAGATGTGGACTGAGAGAGGGGGAGGGACCGAAAAAACGGATAGAAGAAAGTCCAAAACGAACAGAAGAAGTTAGAAGTGGTGACACAACCGCCACATTGCTGCAGCGATGGCGACAGCAGCGGCAATGGCCTGCGATCTGGACGCGGATGCTGCAGCACCGCTCTCCTCCCATTCTGCACCCTGGTATATCATGGTTCCGTTGATCAGCGGAGTGTTGTTGTCGTCGTCGCCGTCGCCGCCCGCCGGAGTTTGTGTTGATTTTTGGCTGCGATTGTATCACATGGTACATATTATTAGCAAAAAGGTAATTTCAAGTAGCAGAGCATAGCATGCATGTTGTCAACTTGGACAAGGAACATGGCTATCAAGTTGTATCAACTTGGATTGCAGGTTGCCAAGTTAATCGAAGTCGGGGTTTCCTGGCGCCAACTCAAATAGATGTATTAGACAACCAGGCTGCATCATCCAATTCTAATCTAATAATGGCACTGGAGCAAGAGTTTTTGCCCACCAGGCTGTCCATCCACTCATCTCCCAGTTTCTGACCGTTGTTTTACCTGCCAGCGCTACTGTAATAAACTGCGATATATTGTATCATTATTGATTTTCCTTTTGACACTTGTTAGCACAAGAGATGAACAGCTACTCCTCTTCAATGGCGTAAATAATTAGTAGTCAGTTGCCGTCCCGTTTTCAATTCTTTATCCCGTCCCGTTTTCAATTTCCCACCAAAAAAAAAAAAAGAAGTCAAAATTTTCAGGCTGACCGTCAGCAGTTTGACCCTTCGGAATAATAATGACGACAATCCCATCATCCATGCTGCACTCAAAGCTGGCAAAAGACTAAAGTAAGTTTCGATCAAACCTCCACCGAATTGTCTAAATTTTGGTTGACAAAACTTTTTTAGCCGTTGAACCGCAGAAACCTCCTCCAATTATTAGGTGTACCGCACAATACTATTAGGTGTACAGTACTCCTGTAAATTCCCGATTCTGATTAACAAGTGATACTGTCGCTTTCATCACCCCACCCCCATGCACACAACGACAGAGTTAGGAGAACATCGAGACAAGAATAGGCCTCGTAACGCGTGACATTTAAGGACCCAGTGGACAAAAAAAAAAAAAAAAAACCGGATCAAGGCCTCACAAAATTAATTGAAATCTCTCTCTAATTCAGATCGGTTCAGTTCATATTTTACCTGGTGTTGGGAGGTGGGCAGAAGGTAATAATGTAGTCGGCGCCCGCACACGTGAAGGTACTCGTCTTATCATCGTAGGCATAGCTATAGGCGCGTGGGCAAGCGTTCTTGAACACCTGCGAGTAACTGGATGGCTTGCACGTATCAGGAGTATTATACGCTCCGCTGCAGCAATACTGAGCTTGCCCGAACGCCGCGCACGCGCTCTTGCACGCCACTTTCTCCCCGTCGCTGCTCGTGACCTTCAGGTCCGAAGGGCACGCCCCGTTCAGATCAACCACGCATCCCGTGGTTGTACAGTTGCCCCCGGAGCCACCTTGCGGGACCACGAGCATGGGGAGGTTGTAGCCGTCCACCAGGCTGACGTCATAGAAGTCCAAGCCACCGGCCCCGTCGAGCGTGAATTCAGCCAGGGTGGCGGGCAGAGCAGCGTTGCCGCCAGCACATTCTAGCTTTCCGGAGCCACAATCCCCCGTGACGCAGCTGAATTTGCCGGAGGAGGAGTCTCCCGTGCAGCGGGTCCGACCCCAGAAGCGGCCACCCCAGGAGGAAGGAACTTGAATGGTCCTGGACTCTCCAACTTGAAGAGCAAAGCCGGTGGTGGAAAGCGGGGCAATTCCGGCATTGGACAAAATGCCGGGCCAAACTGTGTACTGGCACTTGTTTACTAATGTAAATGTTGCTGATGCATAAATTCCTGCGTTATCGTAGGACACGACAAATAAATCCCGTTATGTGTGAAGCGCAAATGCATTGCATGGTTCAAAATTCTAATGAATGCTGTAAATAAGTAAGATGGACAATGTTTCGTTTAATTAGCATCAAATTGATTCAAATTCCAGGCTAGTGAATGCTACGTTTCCTCTTCCGTGATTTTTGAAGCAAATTAGCTTGGGCTAGTTACCTGATGTGAATTGATTAATGAGTGTAAACAGCAGGGGGAATAAATAGAGTTGAGCCATGAATGATATTGTGTTACTACACTTGGAAAAATGGAAAGAAGGAGAAGGAGGTGGCGGCTTGACAGGAGGAGACAATGGAAATCAACCTTCTTCTTCTTCTTCTTCTCTATAGGAAAAATGGAAAGAAGGGGAAATGCAAGGGGGGGGGGGGTGTGAAGAGAGAGAGAGAGGGGGTTCTGGCGGGCAAGGATGGCCGCAGGGGTGTATATATAGAGAATCAGAAGGTAGGAGGTTTTTGCAGTAGTGATGGGCCCCATGAGACGAGGTGGGGGATGATGAATTTGGGCTGCCAGCGTCATTGAGTTTGTAACTGGCGCCGCCTTCCTCTGTTTTGTAAAGCAAGGCGTTCTCTGTTTTGTAAAGGCTACTTACTGCTCAGTATTAACAAGAAAGCCCTCTTCCTAAATTAACACTGCGATGTGTGCAGATAGCTTCCCAATTGGGCACTTGTTGATAAAATGGAATGGATTTAGCAAATATTAAATGGGCTTTCCAGCAAAATTTAAGTCGTCATTTCAGGTTTGGAGTACACATTTTTACGTTTGCGGTTGTGGTGAATGATGCAGAAGTTAAAACGTTGTTTCTTGTTTTTAGTTTCAGCATTAGCGTACTGATACATGCATTACACTCTGCTCCACGATTGAAATTGACACTGTAGAGATTCGCAGCCCTTTGGCTTTGATGAGATGATAAGTGATAAGTGCATTTTCTTTTCTTTCTTTCCATTTGAGAAGAGAAATGGAAATGAAGGAGGAGTAGTGTGTTTTGGGGGGAGTGCATTTTTTAGAGGTCTGCCTTTCAGTCAAATTTGCCGTTTGTAAGACTCCAAACCAAAGTGCAAAAGTAACACGTACTGTAGAAGAAGAAGTTATGATGATCTGATGATTGTGTGGAACACGTACTATTTGTTTTGGGACCCAAGTCCAAAAATATATACAGATGATGTTTGACCCTTGGCAATGTGGTCAAGACACATGTTCTAATTTCTATAAATCTCATTTTTACCGATATTTTACCTCAGCAGATTGGGGTGCTATATGCACCTAGTATGTGGATTGAATTTGTAATGTTAGAGTATACGGAAAGCAAAGTTTAGAAGTAGCCGTATCTGCATCTACTTACACTTACAAAATTGAAATATTTGAAACGTTTAAGCTAGAGACTCTTATTATCACCAGGGAAGGGCTTAAGTCCCTCATTGAGATGTAGATAAAGGTTTAAATGTTACTTGTAGTGAAAAAAATTAAGAGTTATGTCACAACACTCTCTTAGTTTAGTTGGGTCTGTATACGCACTAGCCAGCGAAAAAAATCTCTAAGGGTTGTGTCATAACACTCTCTTGATCTAGTTGGGTCTGTATATCCACTAGCCCTCTACTACAGTCTCCTTAGGCTCCCCCTCCCCCGTAGATTAAGATAGAATAGGTTATTCAAATGTATCGTTGCTGACACCAAAAAAAAAAAAGACTCCTATCACAGCTTCCTAAAGATATTCTATGCAAGTATCATTATTCCCAATAACTTTAAGAAAAAAATGGGGGCAGAACGTGACATGTAAATGTTACATCTGTGGCTGTCTGCTTAAAATTTCTAATTGAAGAGGACTACTCTTATCAAATCAACAAAAAAAACACTAGTATTGTTTGGAGGCACGAAGCGATAAGAGGAATGCTTGCAAGCATCAACTACCGGGTAGCTAGCTTAAATAATTAAAGCTCACTACTAGGATCCACCAGAACAGTCGACTGCTATGCAATATGATGCTTTTTGGAACTGGTTTCACATGATAGAACCACAAGGAATCATGCCAATTAGCACTCTTAAAGTGTGTTTACCATTTTTTTTTTTTTGGTTAAAAGAAAAAATTTCTTTTGTAGAAAAGGGGCTAGGTTTAAGAAGAGAAGAGGAGGAAATGGGATTAGAATCCATAACTTCTTCAAGATATTTTAGTTCAATTTGACATTGATCGAAACAATTTTATGATCGAACTTAAGCGCATTTCTAAAGCTGATTAGAGAAAAAACAATCCAAGTTCAATAATATAATTGTCGCTGATTGGGCATGATGCAACCGATATATATATATATATATATATATATATGGCATAAAATTTCAAATGTAACGCAAAGCTTTTTGAGTGTAGGGCTGGTTTTGAGGGGGGATAAAAACCCCATCCTGCAAAAGATAGGGCAACACAAAAAAGGGCGTAGATATAGAAGAAAAAATCTCAAAGGATCAGTCGCTGTACCGTAATTACATTGGCAATTTGGCTGTTATGCAAGCATTTAGAAGGCATTTCTATCCGTAGTGTGCCCGGAAACAACCGTCGGCTGGCCGTTGCGAAGGTCCCCGCTTTGAAAGGCTAACCATTAAATAAAGAGGACCCAGTTGTGTAGAGATATTGATCAAGAGATACACGAGCAGTTGAAGCCAAATTGGTATTTTCGGGAGAGCATTCAATTAATGATTCTGATTGTTTCTACAACCCACAGGAAATATGTAGAAAGCATGCCAATCACATTTGGTATTTCGATTAAATAAACAAATTAATAAATTGGTTGAACAGATAAACATCATTGCTCAATGCCACTAAACTTTTGTTTTGGGGGGTGGAGGAAAAGCCTTTTCCTAGCACAACGTTTGGCTCGTCTCCACAATCCAGATAGCACACCACGAAACAGGAAATGTCAACGAGACCATATCATTATTGTTTTCAGATATTGCTTTACAAAAAAAAAAGGGATTTCGAGAATTGAAGTTACTGTGCTAGGTGGGGAAAATTGGCGGCTGAATGTAGCAGCAGTTGTGGTATCAAAGCAGAAAGAATCCCCATTTGGTGATATTTTTTCCATCGACCAATTCGAGAAACTTCAAAGCTCAAAGCTGCCATTCTTTCCATGTCTCATCAAGTCCAATTGGGCTCCTCTGTTCTGTCTCACGGTCTCACCTAACACTAATATTACTATCACAATATAAGATTAAAGTAGATTGTTGGCGTCAAAAATCTTTTCATATTTTTTTGAAGGTCAGTTTAAGCAAACAAATAATGTTTCATCAATTCATGCACTTGACGGATGGGGTATCAATCGGATTACGACAATTACCAGTACTAGGAAGGCAGGCATGAAGGATCAAATTAGCAGACTAGGAGCTAACATTTGACTGTCAAGTTTACCTGCATTTACGGTCTGTTTCTTCATTGGTTGAACTGCCGCCACCTTCTATTAATATTTAATAGGCGCCGGTAGTGCTTGCTTTGGTCCGGTTCAATTAAAATAATGAAGAGCACAGATTAGCAGTTCTCGGTGGAAAAAAAAAAGATGATGTGACGCGGGAGTTGTGTTTCGAGGCCAAACTCAGGAATGATGGAGTGACGTTTCTGCATGCTTACCGGGCTACCTTCTTAGATGTATGAATATCTGTATATTTTCCCGTGTTTGATTCCGATTTTAAATCTACAACTTGGGTTAGCATGCTTGTGGAAACCTTGGTCAAAATCAAATGGCTCATCCAATCCAATGCGCATTTTCCCATCCTATAATACGATTTTGACTTTTACCAGACATCCTCACTCTGAAGGCTTCCAGACAGAATCTGGTTTCAACTTTGAACATTGAACTTAACTTGTAGAATCGTATTTGGCTAAAATAATGCTCCGTCGTCATGAAACTGCCACATTTGGGACCGTAACTACTTCCGAAACGCCAACCAGCAACCAGGAGGAAACCGGGAGCTTTGACTGCTAATGAAGAAACATTTGTAGATTGTGTATGATGCGTCTTGTGGGCTTATCTTATCTCAATTGCATTTGTCCCCTACTTTGTAGACTCCATTTTCCCTCCTGCGGGGCCGGCCGACATGTTCTACGAGTTAGGTGCTAGAAAAACACACTAACATAAGATCATAAATACGTTAAGAGTTTTTTTTGTTCTTTTTTTTTTTGGGGGGGGGGGGGTGGTGGCTGATAAGTTATAGTAGTAACTTAAAATGAGCCGCCAGTGAAAAAAACCCTGAATATCAGGTTTCTTTCCTTGATCATAGCTCTTGTGAAACCAATACTCCTGATGTTAATTAACTCCGGTTCATTTGACCCACTATTATTGCTCACATTTAATGGACCGCTCTAAGACATTATTGGTAGTAATATTATTGATTTAGTTTCAACCTTCTAGCCGGATGATGCTGCTACCACAAAGGATACGTTCTTTTTCCCAGTCATAAATGGCGGAACCCATCCGGGCTGCCTGCCTTCCGAATGTACGGTGACATGAAAAACATCATCATTTCACTGTAACCTTTTAATTTGACCTATTGCTTTCGTTATGCATTTTCAAAGAGAGAGTAGTGCGTGTCACGACTTTGGTGGTAGAAAGTAGAAACATCAATTGTGGAAGGACGCTCGCACGATTTTTTAGTTCCCGTTTTAGACAGACCATAGCAGACATTCATATTCAGGCCGATTTCATGCATGAGAACTCGAATACGCAAGGACTTCCTACACCGACGATAACGATATACATTACATGTGGGATGTTACCTCTTTCTGAGGAGGAGGCTGAGTTAGATCAATGGACGACTACCGTGGATCTGGATCGGATGGTGAAAGCATCCCGGACCACTCCCATTGCCGTTAATTTTGAATATAAGCAGACGCATGACCACTCCCGTACCGAGTTTCGTCAGCGGATACACCAAATTAGTGCTGCACATGATCCTTGCTTAAAAAAAAAAATAGACAATTGAACATCAGAAAAGTTTTTGAAGTTCTTCTACCTAACTCAATTATCCAGTTCACACATCACACAGGACAGGTTTTGGCGTGTAATTTGCGCCAAGTACTTTCCAATTGTCAACTTCTATTTGCAGAAATCATCTGCTCCGCCAAAACACTCTCTGAAGTCCAAATGGAGGGTCTCTAATCCTTCTTCCTTTTCTCATGCCTCGCTCTGTCCTTGCGTGATTTGCTGTGACGGGAAGACATGACAAAAAACAAAAAAGTTCAAAACATCATCAGATAGATTGGAGATTTCAACCGATACAAAATAAGTCTTTGTCCCCGACTCGTGATCACATCACAATCCATGATATTAACAAAATAAAAAGCCGCCGTGGCAGACATCAGCATTTATCATATGGTCTTCAACAGGATAGACACCAATCCTTCAGTGTCTTTAACTTTCTTTCCTATTCTCCTCATAAGCAGTCCCCGCCTCCTCACTTTCTACGAAACCCTGTGGTATAAAGATCCTGCGACGAAACCTACTAAATATTACCCAAGGGAATTCTTCATTTCTATTTTCCTTTTTCACTGGATTAAACAGTATAAAAAATGGGATTTGATATGGCAGACCGTCATATTAGTGCTTGGACAGAACAGATAAATTAGACGTAGGTATACAGACTAGTCATTTATTCTATGGGAAGCTGCTTTACAAGGCTCCCCAGGAAACGAGTGAGGCGCCTTTTAGCACCCACGACCTTTGCTTCCACTTCTTCCCCCTTCTCTTCTGATTCTGAGCTGACCTGATGCTCTTGCATGACATGCACTTTCCTTACAAGCCTTCTTAGTTCCTATCAAGGAAATTGAGAAGCGTAGATGAAAACCGAGACAAATGGACAAAGGTAATAGTCCAAGCACCATTACATCAAAAATTTAAACAACTCTGATCATTCTGAAAAGGTGATGCTGCGCTTATATCAATTTGTCTGTAGCTTCACTGAATATCTACTAGCACAAATGTATTCAACGAGTGCCAAGCTTCTTATTTTCAGTTTCCCACAGCAGAAACATACACAAACTACTTCTCTACACTGAGATGCAATATCACAAGCACCGGGGAACCTCAAACATTCCAAAATTATATTATCAATCTTCTGAAATAATAGGAAATGACAAAGCATAGTTCCATCTGTACCAATATCTTCATATAAAGCAACTAAATATCATTTGTTAAATGAGCACACAAAGGAAAGTGAGAACTGGACACGGAATCAAGCGGCAAATAAATATCAAAGAGCCACTGAACTGCAACTAAGTTTTCGTGCATGGAATCCTTGGACAAGCTTTGGTTTTTTTTTTCTTTCCTTTTTTTGGTTGGTACAAAAGATAATAATATATTAAAACCAATTCTTGGACAATCTTCGCCAACTACTTGGAGGAATTGTCTTCCTCTTAATCAAGAAACCCAATTCCTTTCCTCTTCCTCAGATCTATCCAGACAAACCAACAGAGAACTGCAATTTAGCATTGCTTGTTAATTTTGAAGGAAATGCGCAAACTGTTTTTGGAACAAAGGATAGTATTCAGCAGCATCGACAAGCACCATATTATCACACACATAGCACTAGGAGAGTCATTGTCTTTCCAAGCTCGATTACCCACTTTTACGACAGACAGAGCCTTTCTTCTAGTAAACTACTCTCGTAATTACATATCACCAAGAAATCAATCAACTCCATAATTGGTCCACATGAAGCCAAAAGAAGGTAGAACCCGCACCATTGCAATAACTGTGCAAGGTATCCCCAAGAAAAAGCCCCTTAAATTGAAGTGATTTAAAGCTTCACATGGGAAATCCCCGTTTAGTGTCTCATGATTTCATATATCCAACTTGTAGTAGAATTCAATGACACATGAAATCCAGCAAACTTTGCATATATACCCAAATAATTTGATCTCAAGCCTTAAACCAAATCTCAGGCATGAAACTAACACCCCCAATGTACAGAAGTTTTTTACCATGCTAGAAACTGATGTTCACTAAATTGATAATTGACCCATAGGTCAAATTCAGAATAACACGCTTGAAGTTCCCTATAACTATGTTTGACATGTATTTAAAAAAACTCAGAGTCTCAATTTTCAACCTTGCAACACTCAACAGTGTCCAGCCCTTGTTATCTTTAATGAAATTGCATGTGTTCAGTTTTCAATTTCACTGAAAGTTACTTGAGAGCAAAATTGATCATCCAATTGAAAATCAATGTTTAAAAAATAACCAAGTGATGGAAAAGTAAGAGACCTAACCTGACGGTCAAAATCAACGCTGTCAAGTGAGTAGATTTCATTCATAACATCAATATCTTTTTTGATCAATCCCTCAAACCATCTGGTTGTTATCTCAATGCAATACTCTGGATCCTGTAAACAAAAGCTAAGGAAAGTAAGACATTGGTGAAGTAAATCACTGTTCTTCACATGATGCAGTTGATCTGAGTCAACAAAATCCAGAAAGGTAAGGCAATTCTTTTTAGTAATAAATCAAAACTAATTTCATTAAAAGACAGGAGAAGCATTGAGTTTTGCAGAGGATTCATGTCAGATTATTTTGCAACAGCATGAGAGGGAATATCCTATTATTCATGTCAGGTACCATAAGATAAGGAATAATTCACATCATGCCTTATTCTGATATAGCATAAGAGGGAAAGGTCATTCTATGTTCTGTAACATGTTCGTTTTGGCAATATGTTTACTTCAAATGACAGAAGAGGATGAGAAAATGGAGGGAGAATCATAGCATCCAATATAAGTTCAAGTTATCGTGTAGAAGCCAGGGCATACATCTTCACACTGATCTTCAGTTTCTTCTGCTGCGTCATCACTATCTTCAATTGCCTGTGCTTCTGGACCACATAAAGTTTGAAACTTGCCATTGTCGCCGTCCTTTGTGGCCTGGATTAACCCGTCCATCAATTCAGGCTCTACCTCTCGGAGCAGTCTTCCTGAAATGGAGATGAAAGACATCAAAATCTGACCATTATACTAACTATCATTACAGATTTCTATGTGATCAGACAAAAATAATGTCCAGTTTACTGAACAAAGAATTACTAAAACTATGCACAACAGCGAGCAGATTGAACAACATTTTTACCAGTTTGCTGTTATATACAGGAGGAAGGAGGAAAATCAATAAACAAACAGCAAAAACACAGTCATAAACTAATACAAGAATTGTTTCACTTCCTTTCTCTCTTCCCCTTTTCCTACTCAAAACGTGTAATCCTTCAATGATCCCCTGTTGTTTGTCAACAAGATTACATCCTATCTCTCATAAGAATGATGATATAACTTCTTTGAACTTGTCCCTCTTATTCAGTTCCCACTATCGTTGAAACTTGTGACTTCCCTGCAGACAATATCAGGAATTCGAATCCAAATATGATGCTAGAGCTTTCCCTCACGAGGCACAAAGACTTTCCTTCACTGGAGATGCAAAATGTCAACGAGCCTTTCAATTCAGGACAACTAAGAGAAAAGATGCAAAGATCCACACATTGCCCTGCATGGCAACTAACTAGTAACCAAGTGACCAAACTTTTCTCCTCTATAATCAAACATTTCATGCCAACATTGCCTACATATCCGAATTAGTTGACATCAACGAACAACGAAATGATTGCTATCCTCTTCCTAGTCTTACCCTTCAAACTCCACCGTACCATGGGTTCACAACCGTTACATACTACTATATATAATACCTTCCTACATACATTTCGGATAGTGAGAATTAAAAATGTAAAATATTCATCGGGGAAAAGTATCGAGCTAGAAATTTAAGCCGCATACCTATATAATTGAACTGTCTTCGCTTTCCTTCTCGAACATCGCGACCAAGCCTCTGCGACATTTTCACAAAAACACCCTACTCACTCACCACCTCAACCAGAGCACCGCAACAACTTGTAAATTTTTTGCAACAAACAAAACTAAACTAATCAAGAGAACACTGAGTAGTGATTATACTACCTTAACTAGCATGAGAGCATCGTAGACTTCACGCTCAAGAGAGGCCACTCTGCACTCAAAACACCAAACAAGCAATTCATCTTCAAATACTCAACTAGCAGCAATCACCAGATCATTTTGATGAGAAATTTCTGAGAGTATCAAAAAGGAGAGTGAGAGTAATAATGGAAATGCACCTGAGAATGCGCTTGATTTGAGGTGGTGAGAAGTTAGCGAGCTCCATCCCCCAGCGGACGGCGCGCTTAGCCTCGCGCTTCTTCTCATTGCGGCTCTTCTTGGCGGAACCGTCGTCGGAAGAGTCGCTGTCGCTCTCAGTGGTATCGGACGGCAAGGGAAGTTGACGCAATTTGAGAGCGCGTGTACGGAAGTGGAGGTTGCGAGCAGAGACCACGGGGGAGGAATTGATGAGTAAGAGTTGGTGGGGGAATTTGGCGGTGGTTTCTGCGGAAGGGAGGGAGCAGGAGGTAAGGAAATAATAGAATGCTCCGGCGGAGCAGTGGTATTGGTGATGTAATCTGGGCAGTCGCGCCAGAGGCCTCAAAACATGCGCCATTGCTGCTGAGTTAGAGGTGGAGCGACTGACCCACTCGTCGCTGGTTGCTCGAAATTCAGATTTCAGAAGAAGATCAAATGGGCTGGCAATCATCATTATGGGCTCATACTGTTTTCTGTCCATGAAGTTGGATTTGGGCCTCAAATGATTACATGAACTTGAAAATGCAATGGACCAATATTACGATGCATACCTTACTGGCCTACTCTTTTTCCTGTTGCCTATTGGGAACAGACAACTGGAAGCCCATGTCTTGAGCCTTTTTAATTTTTTTTTTCCTTTCCTTTTTCTTTTTGCGTTTCTAAAAAAGTAGCGCTATATAAAAATACAGATTCAGAATATGCTGTCGAAAATGAAAAGAAAATGTTCGTGCTAGCTTTGCGTTCACATATATAGTTTCCCATTTAGCAATGCACTGGGAATTTGAACCTGCATTTGGAATCAGTTGGGCAACTTTAATTGAGCTAGGATAATACTTGGCATAAATTTTTTTTTTTTTTTTTCACATATCCAGAGGAGAGGCAAAGGCCCCTTACCGCGGCACTAAACGTGGGATCGTGACCCCAATCACGTCGGCTCCTCATGTCCTGGTGGTGGTTCCTCCAACAGTCCATATGATAGCTGTGATTGAGATGGCTAGCCAGTTGCACGTCTATTCCCTTCTCTCCTGCAGGGTGCATGACCAGTCTTTGTCACTCATGCCTCCTCTTATGTCTTATCCGTTTAAGCAGATTATGGTAAGGAGAAGCGATCGCCGATTCCCTTGCCAGTCCATAGTCTTTGCAAAACCCGCCCAACCCACGTCCCTTTGTCATCCTTAATCAGCCCTCTCACACCTGCCCTTCCAGGATTTATCTTCGAGGCCCCATCATGGTATTTTTGGATTGCAAAAAAAAGGGCGAAAGCAATCTGGGAATTTGGTCCTTTTAGTGTCTTTTTTTTTTTCTTCCGAAGTCCAAAGAGCTTACGTCATTTTTAGTGTCCTTTTAGTGTCATTTGTTTGTCATTTATTTATCATGTTGGGTGGTGATGAAGCGGAAGAATCCTAGCTTCACAGTCTAAGTCTAATATGTGGATCCAATTCTTCCCAATCCTTTTTCTGCAGAAATATCATTGTAATCAATTGGGATAATTTCAAAAACCTCCCTCAAGGTTTTTAACAATTTCATTTAGCTCCTTTGATATTTTAAAAATTATACATACCTCCCTTGTCATTTTAAAGGACAATACTACTCTTAAATATTTTAATGAAATTCTCTTATTTAGTATGCTTATATTAAGAGTAGCTTTTAAAATTATTTTTTTCATTCTTTTTCCTCCTTATTCATTTTTTTAAAATTCTTTGCCAATAAAACTATAGAATTACCACTATTACCTCTAATTTCCATTGTAATCCAATGCTTTGATGATCTTTGTTTACTATTTTTTGGTATTAAAATTAACAATAAATAAAAAAGAAATTGCCCCAAAATCACTGCTAAATTATGATAATCCCACTACTCAAAAAATTCATAAACTCTAAATGAATTATTTTAATATTTTCTTTTCTATTTTATAAATCTAAATTCATAACAAAATATCATATCATAGTGATAAATTTATTATTATTATTATAGTTGTTTATCAAATAATAGTTATGGACATGAAAATTTGGCATCTTTTCTTTATAATTATACTATATAATCTTATAATTGTATAGAAAAAAATAAATTAAAACTCATTACATAAGGGTATTTTTGGGTGTTCACTTCAAAATTTGACAAAGTCAAATATTATTTTAAAATTTTGTTACTAAATCTATCAAATTCTGAAAGGTAAGTGTAATTTTTTAAACTTCAGAGGAGCTCGGTCAAATTGTCAGAAGCCTCAAGTGAAATTACTAAAATTATCCCTAATCAATTCCTATATACATATGTGTGTGTATAAAGTGCCAAAACTCGTTGATGTGACTAATCTCTAAATTAGTAGTTGATCATGATCGAAATAAAAATTTCCCAATTATAAAGCAGACTAGTATTAGAAGCCGTGACATGGATTCGCCAAACTTTTCTTTAAAGTGGCTAGGGGTATTTTAATACTACGAGAAATGGAATCAGAAGAAAAGACCACAAAATCAAAGGAAAAAGTAGATATAATAACTCACAAAGAAAATTACTACTAGTATACAACATATTATTGTTTGTTCTGACATTAAGATAAGAACAATTGTAGTGGGAATTGCATTTTTCTTCGAAAATACCATGTTGTAAGTAGGAGCAACAGCCAGTATTCCAAGTCAGACACCTAAAACTCAGCCTGATTCTAGAATCTGCATCTACGGTACATGTTAATTGCTCCTAGTAATTGATACTAGCAGATGCAATAAAAAGAAAGGGAGTATCTTTACATTTCCTAAAATCTGAAAAGGCATCAAATTTGATGAGCTAATTGATGTCTGGATCGCTGCCAGGTTGTGCTACCAACACTGGTCAGTCTCCCAAGTCCGGCGAGCATAATACCCGGAACCCCTGTTGGTGGCCGACAATACATATGCCGGGCGTCTCAGCCGGAACAACGTCCGGTCATAATCAGCGCGCTTTTCCGGATCAGAAAGAGTCGTATACGCTTTATGAACTCTCATGAACTCGTCGGCAGCCGCTGAAGTGTCCTGGCTACCCCTAGTGGTATTATGAGACGACGCAACGTCCGGATGCAAGACTCTGGCTAATCTCCGGTACGCGACCTTTATCTCCTGACACGTGGCCCCCATCGGAATCCCGAGAACTTCGTATAACGAAGTCTGGGGAGCAATGTGAGAGGTGGATGTCGATGTCCTTCCGGCGGCGGCGTGAGCTGCCGAAATCCTGCTTGGCTGGTGAAGGTGGTGCTTGAATCTAGCGCAGCTCGGGGCGGCACCGGCAAATGTGGAGCCAATGGAAGAAGCCATGGAAAAGTTTGATTTTTTGTTTTTGTGAGGAAGAAAAGAATAATCAATAATGATTTTTAATGAGAGGTGCGGTGATGGGAAGTTGCGGGTTGAGCGTGTGGCGTTTATAGGTTTATTATATAGGGTGTGGGTCGGACGTGGGTTTGTTTGAATGCTGTGCTGAGGGGATGGGATACACAGGACATCAATGCTGACTCAGCCATGCATGGACCGGATTCATCGACTCCGCTGGCAACTCTCGATGTGAAGAACAATTCAACTCTTATCTTTGTGTTAGTATTTGTCCCACCCAAGTGCAGAACTTAGCTATAGTTGTAGTTTGAATTAATTGCAATGTCAATTGTGAGCTTATATATAATCTTATGAGAAAAAAAAATTAAGGTTTAATTGTCAGCACGAGTCTTTCTAATTATATGCATGTTACCATTTAAATTTATAGAAAAAAAATAAAAAAACGAAGCACAAACATCACAATCAAACTACTATTCTTAAAAAGTTGGATTCTCGAAACATAATTAAGTAATTTGGGACGGAGGGAGTATATATTATGTGTGTCAAGATTATGCAGCGTTCATTCCAAAAAAAAAAACAAAAGAAGGAAGATTATGCAGCGTTATGTAAAACATTAGATCAACTTAAGTTAGGGGAAACCTCTTTGGTGGATGTTTCTATTAGGGCGTTGAGAGTGATTATCGAAATCTAGGGAATGTCTGTTTTCAATTTCAGAACAATATATTGAGTATCGAAATGAATAAATTTGACCGTTGTTGCTACTAAATTTAGCGTCTTACTTGTTCTGATCTTCCTATACTGAGATGCTGTGGTTTTGACGGGGCAGGTTGTGGCCCAAGACGATGCTTTATGTGAACATTAAATCGAGCAGGGGACGAAGGACATCAGAAGTCGGTGTTTGGACCGACACGTGTGAGGCTTGGCATGAATCTAGACTGCAGAAACGGATAACAGAGGACACACAAACATGACGTGTGAGTATGGATAATGGATGGCGACGGCGATGCTTGATGATGTCCAACCTAATTCTACAACTATTTATTGCTTCTTTTTTTTTTTTTTCATTGTCTTATCCTCGGAACGTTCGTGCTTGTAGATTCAATCCAAAGTCACGAATTATCATTCTGGAAAAATTGTATTTTGCATGATGAGACACCAATAATTCTAACCCGTCAGTACAACAACTCCCTAAAACATGAAAACCATATAAATAAATGAAAGTTCAGAATAAAAGCATGAAAGGTTAAGAAGGACTGAAGCTTTTACTCCGGTGCCAATTCCAGCTAACTTAGCTGACGCTTTCATGATTTCATGGAATATCTTGCGGACTGTCCGTCTCTAGTTTTTCATTGGATTCTATTTTGAGTAATTGCCTTTCCATTCACAAGACAAGATGGTCGTGTCGACCGACCCTTTTCGGATGCAAACTTTGGAGTGAACCTGAAACTTGTATTTCCATTTAAAGAAGATTAGATGTTTGTTGTTTTTTTCAATCTGGGTAGGGTTGGAGGCCATAAATGTTGGCTTTCTCTTCTTAAATCCATCCTCACTCTGTTATTCTTATTACACTGGAGAGCTTGTTCATTCGATCATGTTTGATTTTGCTTGACATTTTTCTTCTTTGAATCTTCGACTATTCATCTATCTAGTAGAGTAATGAAATTGAAGGAATTCACTTCCTCAAATCTCAAATTTAACTTTATTATTGGTATGATTTCCATGCTTAGGTAATCAACGACAATCACAGGCCGGTGTTTACGTTTGACCCAGCTTTTCAAAAGAGTATATTGATGTTTGTTTGGGTGGCGCGGCTGTACATACTCATATGGAGAGAGTCCCACACCGACTGGAGAAGAAGCAGATTGTTGACGGGGTGATAAATAAAAGGCCCAGACGGGCGCCAGGGAGAAAGCCATGATCCTTCAGGCAGTTTACGGGGATGTGATGAGCGGTCAAAGCTCGCATTTAAACATGCGAGATGGGTGCCCGGCCCAAAGCCTGGTTACGACAACCCGGGCGCTCCCATATTTACCGATCTGATCCCTTCTTTCTTTCTTTCTTTGCTTTTCTGCCGAGTCCCTTGTAACCGGATAAAAAGCCTTTTTTGTTTTTTTGTTTTCTTTTAAAAAATGATTCTTCTATTGGATCCATTCCATCCTATCCAACCCAAAACTTGTTTTTTTTTTCCCCCTGTTGGTTTCAGTCCACGATAATGACTACCTCCTCAATTTGCGAAAACCATTTTTCTATGATATATATATATATATATATGCCTCTTTGGTTTGATCATTTCATTCCAGAGAAAAGATAAAAAAAAAATCTCCCTCAAAACGAATTCTGCACCTTTTGGAAATGAATGAATTTTCAGATTTGATTAGAGCCTGAAGTAGACCAATCAATCAATTATAACAGAACAAGATCGAATGGACGCATATTACTGCACCTGACCACGTAGGTATGAACACACAACAACTTGACATCACAGAGAAATTGATACAACTTGTGCCCGGGGAACTCAATAGTTTGCCAATGAGCAAAATGCAACCTGGACATATTTTTTTTTGTATATAATGTGTCTGATACTTACAGACATTCCTTTTTTTTTTTCCTCCAAAAATACGCAACTCCAATGAGTCATCGAAATGATGAACAACACTTTCACATAATCGCCATCACATCATCGCATGTATATATATATATATTACCACTACTAATAAGCCTACATATATATATGTATAAATATATATACATATACACAAAAACTATTTTGACAAGCAGGAGCAGAAGAATCAAATGAAATAAAAAATGAATAATGCTCAGCTTTAAAATCTTATGGAAGAGCTCCAAATGAGTTATCTAACCCGTCTAGTATGTCTAAAACATTAGCTTTTGGATGTCCCAACTCTATTCTTGGCGAGCTTCCAGTGCTCCGACTGAGCGCCCACACCTTTTTGCTTCCCTTCTTGGCCTCAACGAACTCCTGGCTTTTGCTTCTCCCAGGAACTACTTTTCTCCCTTTCATAACCTCCTCCAACAGGTTCCTGTCTTCCAAGGAAAGTTGAGCTCCGTGGACATTGCTGTTGTTGGTTAACACCTCACCCTGCATATTCAGCCCCTTGCGAGTTGGGGACCGGCTTGGCAGAACCTTGCCTCCAGCGTCCCGATACTTTACCAAGCTGATGAGACGGTGAAGCCAAGTCACCAATTCAAGGATGTATGTATCCATCTTCTTTTTATCAGCGTGATACAGTGTCTGTAAGCGAATGAGGCTCGTACTTTTGTTCGTGTTCTTACCAAATTCAGTCCTGCCACAGAGACAAACAGCTTTTCAGTTTCTCGATCCTCTTTTAACAATCCAACTATAGCTGGTTCATATAAACAAGTTTACTAACCCTGCTGAATTTGCCCACTCTCCAACCCACCCAAAGCCTTGATGCGCTCTGCTTTCATCACAAGTAAGAAAATGCCACTGTTAGTTTCCAGCCATGCCTACCAACAATCTTGGTAACACCATATTTGAAGTAGTCATACTAATCACACATCATATGGAAGATTATTATTTTACTTAAAAGACGGTCACAGCAGTTCATAACGTACTATTCCTGACAATCATCTTACATACTTTGTAGTATCTGCAGCAACAGGAACAAGCCAGTGTAGAGTTTTTTCCATTTCGGCCTTAATTTGAGGAACTGTAAGCTGCGAAAGAACAAATAAATTATGTACATCAAGGTTATGGTTACACGAGAAGTTCACAATTTTCAAGCCAGCGCACCAAACACGAATAAAAAGAAGGAAGAGAAGAAAACAATATTGGGAAGTGTGGTCTGGAGGGCAAACCTCTTCCTTGGCATCTGTTGGTGGTAACCGGGAGCGTAGAGCTGTCTTGATGCTGGGAGGCAGCCCATTATACAAAGTATCTCTCATATTAGGAGGAAGAGAGGTCGGGCGTGATGCCTAAAATCCAACATCAACTTTATTAGCAGAAGAGTACCATAAACACAGGCAAAGCACATGGGGATATCACCACAAAAAATAAATAAATAAAGTTAAAATTACAAAATAATTATACACACACACACACATGTCGAGAGAGAGAGAGAGAGAGACTTACAATATTATCAATTTGAGTAACTAAATTAGCATAATGTAAAGCAAGACCAGCAACACCTAGTCTTTCTGGTTTAGTAGGCTCTCTCCCACTAGCCACCAACCCTGTAATAAAAATGTCGTTAGGCTCTTTCTGATTTATCAATTTTGCAGCACAACAGACAGCTAGCAGAGAAAACTACCAAAAGAGAAAAGGTGAAACGTATTGTAATGAAAAACAGATCATGCCCATTCAAACTGGGCAATATAAATTGTAGATCAATCATAAATTTGATAGCAAAGTATCACATGTAACATCGGTTCTTTTCTTTGAGAATCTTGCGTCCAAGCATGCTAGCATGAACTATTTCCACACCAGAACTAGCACGGAACATTTCCGTAACAAAAAATGAACATGTGAAAATGTATTTTTCATACCATTATCTCCAAATGCATCTGAAATCTCTTGATGTATAAAGGTAACTACATCAACCAGTTTCTCAACAACCTGCAGTGGCATCACACAGGGCAAAAAGAAATGCAGATGATTAGCAGCACAGATTAAAATGAGAAACTTGGTATATAAAGCAAACAGTTTCTCAACAGGCAATACTCTGCTTTTAAGATGCAAATGTCCTCTTTAGACAATAAATCCATGCTAATGTAAAAGCTGGGCCCAGCAAAGAATGAACATCGCACTCCTCTATTAGATTGCCCAAAAAGGCTGCATTCAGCAAAGAATATAAAGCAAGTGATTTTATTGAATACCTCCTCCAAAGGTTTAGACCACAGAGATTTCTTTCTCAAGGTTCTAACGAGTTTTCTTTGATGTTTTAGCTCACTTTGTAATATCATGAGACTTTCACCTGTGAGACATTTAACAAGAGCAATTATCAGCACTAGTCACCAGTAATGGTAAAGAACAAATTCCACCACATGTATTCTCAGAAATAAACAGAAAATGATTTCACCAAATCGTATATGGCAAAAAAAAAAAAAGGAAGTAGTGTAATGAGTCAATTTAGGGGAAGAAGCCAAGGTGCAAGCTGTTGGTGGTACAAGGAGAGGTCTAGCAAAAATAAAAAACATCAATTGAACCTCCAACACCAGATATAGGAAGTAAAGGTTGAGAATGTTTTAGTTGTACACTTAAATTATCACATGAAACAATCCATACCAAAATATATGTGTTACCATTGACATAAACCATGAAATCTCTCATATAATAATCAGGTAATTTGATATTTCCACAGATATTTGTTTTATTGCACAAGTCCAAAAGACACATAAAGCTACAGGCATTGAACAGGAGGAGGACGACAAGTTCTCATTTTCCATTACGTGCCCCACACCCCCCGCCCAAAATGAAAAAGAAAAAAGGATATAAAGGAATAGAAACCCAAGTGAGAGTGAAAACACAAAACTAAACGTGAAAAGTATCCATGCCCAAACCTTTCCGAGGAAGGTGCAAGGAGTCAACTTCCTCAAGCTTCCGACGATAATCTTGTTCAAATCTGTCCAAAGCATGGAATTCATGATATAGTTCCTGCAGCAAAGAAACAGGCGCACCACCCCAAATTAGATAGCAATAGAGACTTCTACTTGGTTCAATAGATTAGGCTCAATTTAAAATGCCTCCTTCTTTTTGATATGATTCAATCACAGAGAATAAACCATGCACAATTTATTTATTGGTATAAAGTAATTTTTCAAAATTTGCTTCATACATATTGGATTGTATACTCTTTACAGCAAACAAGTTTACAAAGAAATTTTGAATCAAACAAGGTAACAATGCTATGGTGTGTGAATAAACCCTTGGAAACCCAAAAAACATGCAGCAGACGTTATCAAGTACAAATGGTAAGAATAAATCTAAATTGCTGCCCAAATTTTACAAGCATGAAAGATTATCAAAAGGGATTGTGTTTACAAGGCAATTGATACCCTGCTATTAGCAAATTGAGAACCCCTTTTTTCATTTTTGTGCCCACATCAATGTTACATTGCAAGGCTATTAAACATCACTCAACACATAAACTTGGTAAGCAGAATATATTCAACAATGAGACAGAATCAAGTTTTGTAACTCTTGAATGTTGCATAGTGAGCTGAGTGTGGAAATTGAATCTTAAGTTTCTAGAACAGGGCAAATATTAGTAAATAAAATGTCCCTTCAAGTTGTTCATACCACTTGTATGCAAAGTGTCTCGAAGGAAAGAAAAACAAACAACAAGGACTAACCATGTTTAGAACACAATTAGTAGCAATGCCATCCAGTTAACAACAGCAATGCAATAAGATGTAAAAAGTATCCGAAAATGAAAATTGAGAACCATTTAATACACTACGAAACTGTAAAACACGAGAACACTCACAGAAGTATGCTGGGCCAGCGATGTCAATTCTTGCATGGTCATTTCTGCCTCTTCTCTTGGTAGCTTAGGATTTACAGGGTCTGAGTCCAACCTAAGACATTAAGACCGTATTAGCAAACAATTTTTTGAATCTTTGACAAGAGAGCCTTGCCAAAGGCTAAAGCAATCCAGCTTACTTTGAAAAGAATCGTCCCAGGTTGTGCCACTGTGGGTCTTTACACAGATCCCCAAATCTAACGACTTCTCGAGAAAAGACATCAAATTCCTCCCTACAAAATGCAGAAGCCAATAAATGACATAAGATTTTTTTTATTTTATTTTATTTTATATTTTTTCGCTCAATCCAGAATGAAGTTCAAAAACCAAAATCTAGAAAATTTGTTTGTGCGGGCAACAATGACCCATACTGAATAGGGGGAAAACATAAACCAGGAAGAAAACTAGAGATCAGAGAGAAGCTAGAAACCTTTTGTCAGTGGCTGCAATGCTGAGCAGCTCCTTCATATCAGTAGAGACTAGCTGTTGTACCGCTTCAGAATGTAGAATTTCCTTTTTCAGAAAGCGAATATTATCTTCAGAAAGGGATTGCAATAGATTTGCTCCTTTGGCTATAGTATTGGCAACTTCAAATGCCAAGATAGCTATTCTGTTCCCTCTTGAAGCCATGCCACCGATAAATCCACTGTTATTTAAATTTGACATGCTACTACCTAATGTATCCAGTACTTCGACTGCCTTTTCTAGTCCTGCTATCCCAGCCTTTCCA